AAATTTCGATACGTACCATGAATTCCTCGTGCCACCTCCTCGCATATTATGTTCTCCTGTTACCAGGAATAAAACTCCGATATTTGTCATCACAATTGTAAGCGGGGAGCGATTTGCAACATTGTTGAACTTGCAACTTTGTTGAATTCTGCGGGGAGCGATTTGCAACATTGTTGAACTTGCAACTTTGTTGAATTCTGCAGGGAGCGATTTGCAACATTGTTGAACTTGCAACTTTGTTGAAATCTGTGGGGAGCGACTTGCAACAATGTTGCGAAGTTTGGAAATTGCGTCGCTCAAAAGTACAACAAAGTTGCAACTCAGAAGTTCGGCAAAATGTGATGAAATCCGAAAAATCGACTCGACCTGTGCAACATTGTTGTAGTCTTTTGCGGAGCAATTTGCAACATTGTTGAAATTTTGAGCGGAGCCGTTGCAACATTGTTAAACCAGGAAATATTACAGATATGAAGCGAAATTATAGGGAAATGTACCAGGAAGTAAAGGGAAATATACCAGGAAATAGAGGAATATTAAAGGGAAATGTGTAAGGTAATGGAGGGAAATTAAAGGGAAATATGCCAGGAAATGGAGGGAAACTAAAGGGAAATATACCAGGAATTGGGGGGGGGGGGAGTTAAAGGGAAATGTGTAAGGAAATGAAAAGAAATTAATGGTAAATATACCAGGAAATGGAGGGATGCTAATGGGGAAATGTACCAGGTTGGTATCAATGGCGCCATCGGCGGGTAAACCCCCAAGTTAGAAGTGAAAATGGTTTCCCACTGTTGCTGCAAAATGGCGACACTAAATGAATGATTGATAATCACTGCTGCAGTAAATAAATATTCATAGAAATGATAAATTTGACATATTAACTTGTATATTGTAGTATTATATCGCAAGGAATCGTATTATTTGTGCATTTATAGAAAATGAAAAGTAATACATGAAATGGTGTCGGTTGTGCCATCTAGCAGCAACAGTGGGAACTATTGTCACTACATACTTGCGCATTTTACCACCGATGGCGCCACTAGTATTAAAAACAGCATTAACAAAATATTGTTTAAATTAGTCAATTCTACGTATTTATTCCATTTTATTATTCCAGACACCACTTATTTAACTTTATTTTATGTTAATTATAAAAAAGATTAGTATCAAGGATATCTATCCTTGAAAAATTAGTTCGGCCTGTTGACCGCTAGGCGGCAATACTGTATTTTTGTCCATAAATTGAAAGATTGCGTTGTTATTGATAAGTGGTAACAGTAGGAGTTATTTTCTAATTACTAATTTAGTAATCACTTCATCCAGTTGCGGTATAACAATTCAACAACAAGATGAACGCACCTCCAACCTTCGAATCATTTCTTCTTTACGAAGGAGAGAAAAAGTACGTAATGTAATTCAGTTAACCTATAACTTCTATGTTTTTATAATAACTTGTGTATGCAATTTTTATGTATTACCTAGGATAATCAAAGAACAAGATACTAAAGTTCCCAATGCGGCTATCTTTACAGTTAACAAGGAAGATCACACTCTTGGGAACATGATTCGCAAGTAAGTCTATTTTTAATTATATTTTCCACAAACATAAATGCATAATCAACAGCAATTCTTTTCTATTATTATTCAATAGCCAACTATTAAAGGATCCGCAGGTTCTATTCGCCGGATACAAAGTTCCACATCCGCTAGAACACAAATTTGTGATTAGAATCCAGACAACATCAGACTACACACCTCATGAGGCTTTTATGCATGCAATTACAGATCTTATAGCGGAACTTTCGTTATTCGAAGAACGTTTCAAGGTAAAACACAAATTATACGGTTGTAATTTTTTTACATGCTATTGTATTCAAAATTGTTTCAGGAGGCAATCAAGGAGAAAAAAGAAGGCTTAGATTAAGTCAGTTTCCCCAATTATCTGTGGACTTTAAGCGATTATGTAAATAAATTATCCTTTTGTAGAATTTTTGTATTACACAAGTGACCTGATATATTATTTTATTATGCGAAAATAATTGATACATATATATGCGAATAAGTAAATAAACATTGTTTAAAGAATTTATGCTTTAAAATTTTTTTATTGTTTATAATTAATAGAACTTTAGATGTTCCTTTTTAATAACAGGAAAAGTATTAGTGGTCAATAGATCGTACTGTGTATATTTGTAGTCTTTGAGCTTATTTACACGAGTTTACGAAAAATACTGTAATCAGTCTATTAGAATTTATTTCTCTTAACTACAAAGCATGAATCTAATTAATCAGATTTACATTTAAAGATGAGACTAATTCAGTGATCATTATTAACCCTGTTTTAAGACTTAAAGTTGAAAGGCAAGAGAGTAACAAGTAGTACAATTCTACCGAAACGATTTTTGTACAGACGTTGATGACGAAAGCACAGCGTAACGCGCACAGAAAGCATTTCCTTACATTACACTGGACGTACAAATATTCTTTCTGAAAAACTATACTACCAATCAGTACAGGTATTTTTTCTATTATGGTATAAGAATCAAGCCAAGTATTGAAAATCGGTTTAAGAAACGCCTCTTTTCGAATACTAATGATTCGAGTACCTAATTATTGAAAAAAAGGAACTATCACTGAATGTAATGCGTTTCCAAAGGCAAAATAAATATTAAATACATGTACAGATCGATATAAATAATTGTTATGTACATAATTACACTCGATTTCCGCAAGTTTTGCGCGGTATATGTGTAACATTTCATTGTGCACACTTTCACAATATATGCTCCCTTCTCATAAATTATTATACAATTTAACAATATATCATAGCTAACTTAGTTGTAATTCGGACCTATTATTGATTTGTATCGCTTTGTACTGTAATAATTAGGTGGAAGTAGAATGAATGTAAACAAAAAACATTTCTGTCACATTTCTGTAAACGTATATAGAGTTTTAAGCTATAGGTTTAATATGGGAGCACAGGTTTTTCACCAAATCACCGGAGTTTCTGGATGGATACGCACATTCTATGCAGGAAGACACATACAATGGTTGCGTTAAATTCTTTCATATAAAAATATACTCTGCAAAATCTTAACATGTTTTTTCGCGTGTGTAGGATATTTGACAAGCTGTGAAATAGGACTACGAATAATTACACGCTGTTAAAACGTCTCAGCATCGTCGCAATCACGAGTATCGTGTCCAAACACTGTAAAACAATCAATCAATATCATAAACGGAGCTAGGTATATAGAAGTAGACAGGAGGTTAGGAAACAGTTAGTTCGATAAAAAAAAACGCGTGTTAGTAAAAATAACTCTATCATTTAATTAATTGAAAAATAATGTATAGTTATGGAGAGGTTAGTTGATATAAAAATATTTTAACGATCTTAGAGACTTCTTCACCGAAACTTTCAAACGTTTGTTTTTTCGTTTGGGAGAAAGAATATTATAAACAGATGCAATGAGAAATGCAATTCGTATAAATCTGAACAATGAATTCTTACTTTCGCAGTTTTCGCAGTAAGGTCTTTCCACTGACACTTTCTTTGGTGATTTTGCAACGTTCTCTGGCTCAAGGAAATCTTGGGCTTGACGTGGGCAATCTTCAGTTTCGTGTAAGTCGAACTGATCGCAAATATCACAGAACATACGTGGCGCGGCCATACGTTTATCTAATGTGCTTCTAAAATTAAACAATTAATATTCAAGCGTTACTTTCCTATCACTGTTACTTGGATAACGATTTGTAAAAAGAAAAGTAAGTACTACGAACTGAGTATAATCGTCAGCTTCGTTAGCAGGTACTCCCATTTCAAGAACTTCTACTTTGCACATTAAAGTTTCATTCTTACGCTGCATATCCACTATCACGGAATTCAAGAAGTCTATTTGACTCTTTGCTGTTTCATATTCTTCTTGCAATTTTAATACGTCGATATCTTTTTCAACTGGAATGAAAAATTACATTTCATAAATTTTCAAATAAATGGAACGTCTACCGCGTATTTCGAGAATTTCACAAATTTACCTATATGTTGTTTCATGTCACCCCCAGCTGCCTAAAATTCGAATAAACAATGCGTTACTTGCCGAGTACTACTCGATTCTATAATCGTAATTAAGAACTTACATCGTAATTATTCTTCATGTTCTCACGAGTCAGTTTTAATTGATTCGTTGCTTCCGTCCATTTAGCAGTAATTTGTTTGTTTTCCCTTTCTCTATAAAAAGAACAAATATAATTCTAGAAATGTTTGAAAGTCTTAATAAATGTCTATATACTTACAAGTTACTTTGTGCCTCCTTTAACTGTGCAGATTCCGTGGATATACGGTTTAATTTCTCCAACAGGTTTTGCATATTCTTGTCAGCTTCGTTTTCTTTATTCTTTATAGTATTCAACAATATTTCAATCTTCTCTTCTCGATCTCTAAGCAACTTCTCGAGGGATTCTTTGGTGTCCATTAAATTTCCATTCTCCTTATTTATGTCATCCAATTTATTTTGAATGAGCTTGAACTCCTCATTTCTCGTTTGCTCGTGCGCCTGTAGTTTCTCCGACTGTGTATTTTCTAACGCTTTAATTTGTGCTGTTAACTTATCGATTATTGCTTCCTTATTATTCAAATCACTAATTTGTTTATCTACGAGATCCTGAAGTGCGAGCTGTTTCTGCTCTAATTCAGAATTTTTCCGGGTTACAGTCTCAAATTCGATCTGCTTAGATTTAATTTCAGACTCTAAAGTGTTTTGCAATTTCATCACAGATTCATCTTTGGCGTTTTGCAGTTCTTTATTCGCGTGTTCCATGTCTTGAAGCGAATTGTTTTTCATGCGTAATTCTTCTCCAACAATTTTCAACTGCGATTCTAATTGTTTTATGTTATCTTCTAAAGAATTTTTTGTTTCTAAGATGTCAACGACTTCCTTTTCTTTCTTCGAAAGTGTTTCTTGTACTTCTTTAATTTCTGCCATACTATGCGCTTGTTCTTCCTTCATGGACGCAATAGTCTCGTTCAGTTTCAAAATTTGAGCCTCGGTTTGTTCAGACGCCGTCTTCATTTGAGCGAGAGCGTCTTCCTTGATTTTAATAGTTTCCGTCGCACCAGTTAATTTGTCTTTCAGTTCTTTGACTTCATTAGACATGACATCTAACGAGATTGTGAGATTTTTATCGATGGCTTCCTTATTAACTAATAAAGCTTCATTTGTTTGTTGTAATTTTAAATATTTATTTTGAATTTCTTGAAAACTAGAATCCTTTTCCGATATCAAGGACTCTAATTTAGAACGATTTTCTGTTTCAACGGCCAGCTTTTCCGTTAGTTCCTCGATAGACCAACGATTGGCGCTCTGATCTGCTTCTAACTTTGATTTCATCTTTTGCAAAGTTTTAGTTTCTTTTTGAGACGCAGTTAATTCCGCTTGCATATCACTGATTTGTTTCTGAAGAGAAGACATTTCTTCTTTGTGAGAATTTTGCAACGTGTCGCATCGTTTCTGAAGGCTGAGTACTTCCTCTTTACTTATCTTTAATTCATTAGCAAGGTGAAACGTTTCTTCAGATTTCTCTTTAAGATTATCCTTGACACGTTCATTTTCACTTATTATTTTGTTAAGTTCATCGTTTTCTGTCTCGAACTGTTTCATTTTTCCAGATAATTCTGTATTTAATTTTTTCTCATTTTCCAATTGAGATTTGCTATCATCTAGTGCAGTGCGCTGTTCCTGAATCAACGTACTAGCTTTATTCAACTCTTGTTCCACGTTACTTAATTTTCCTTCCAATGATTTTATCGTGCTTTCACTTAAAAACGCTTTGTCCTTTAATTCTTCAAGTTCTTTTTCTTTCAAACGCAAATCCTCGTTATATTTCACCAGTTGCTCAGAGGAATCAGTAGAACTGCTCACCAGATTCGCAATATCTGATTCCTAAATATAACATAATATTTCAATATTTCATCCTAAATTGATATGCTAAAAACTTTAGGGAATCGTTACCTACCAGTTTTTCTTTTTGAGTGGTTACTTGTGATATTTTATTTTCCGAGCTGGCGACTTGCTGATTCAATTCTTCCACATTACTTTCAAGTGCTCGAAGTTCGATCTCCAGATTGGTCTTGGTTTGTGCTGATAATGTAAGAGCATCTTGCAATTCTGAAACATAAGAGACAATAGCGTTAATAAATTTAGTATCGCAAACAGTAAATTGGAATTTAATATTTATCTTTTTTACCTGAAGTCTTTTCCGTAAGATTCTTTATTTGCTCGTCTTTAGTTGCAAGGATCGATTTCAGTTCAATTATATCCTTTTCTAATTTACTAAGCAATTCCGATTTTTGAGATACGTCTGCTGTTACTTCTTCGATATATTTCGTTTTTTCTTCGACCTGCCCCTGATAATGCTTAATCAATTCTTCGATTTCAGCTGCAGTAGTAGAACGTAGTTCAGACAATTCTTTTTCCTTCACTTTTAATTCTTCGCTTAATTTCTTCAATTGCGCAGAAGAATTTGCCTCGGTAGCTATTAAAGAAGCAACATCTTGCTCCTAAATGAGCAAAACATTTAGTATCGATTCAATCATCTGTTATACAAAAAAGGAGACTCGAAAAACCGATACTTACTAATTTTTGTTTTTCTTGAACTATCTTGAAACTGTCGTCAGCCCTTGATCGGTACTCTTCTATTTGTTTCGAAAGTGTAGCGTTCTTTTCTTCCATTAACTTAAGCTTTTCGTTCAGTTCTGTAAAATGGAGTTTCATTAAAAATAAAGTAAACGTTTCAATTAAAAATCTTTTAAATCACAAATGTACCTTCGAGCTTCCGCAAAGCGACGTTTAATTCTTCATCCCTTTTTTTACCCAAATCAATTTGCGCAGACAGTTCATTCATTAGTTTTTCAGTCTCGGATGTTTTCTGATCGAGTTGCATGAATACTTCTTTAATCCTCGAGTCTTTCATATTCAATTGTTCATTGAAAGACTCTGAAAGTTTGTTGATTTGCTTAATGTTCTCTGTCTTAAGATCCTCTAAGGCTACGCTTTGTGCTTCGAATTGCTTCTTCGATTCAGTCTCAAACTCTAGTGTCTTTACTTTTACGAGGTTTTCCTTCTCCTCGATGATTTTCTCATACTTTGATATCAAAGAATCTTTTTCCTTGACATTTTCTACCTTGATATACTCTATCGTTTCTTTAGCACGTTGCAATTCTGTTTTTAAAGTGTCTGCAGTGCTTTCGAATTCTTTCTTTATGTTTTCTATGATTGTACTTTTCTCATCCAGAACTTTCGTCATGCGTTCCAATTCTGTTCGCAGATTTGCTTCCGATTCTTTATGCGTTGCATTCTCCTTCTGACTTTCGTTAAGTTTTAATTCGAACTCTTTTATTTGCACGACACATTGTTCTACCAGCGCTGATTTTTCGTTCACTTCTCTTTCGAGACTGGCTTTTGTTTCTTCCAGACCTCTGTTCTGGTTCTGTAAATCTACATTGGTCGAAGGTGAATAACTTCTACTCAAACACAATTATATTTGTTGCTAATATTATTATTCGAAATACCTTCCAATAGGTGTTTCTCTTGGGTAGTAGCACTGGAGATTTCATTTCGAAGACGTGCTAATTCTTCTTCAGTTTCAAATAATTTTATACTGTCTTGTTCCAATTGACCAACACGTTCTCTTTCCTCCAACAATTGCTTTTCGAGATCCCTGATCCTGTTTTCATTTACAGTATTTATCACCTAACGACAAACGTGCTCGTTTAGTACTCAGATGAATCAACCTATGTCAACATCAACTAATACGAAGCGTATCGAGATATATAAGGGCATTGTTTACTGTGTCGATAAATATGCGTTACATTTGATCAGATTGTTAACAAAACAAAAATGTAATGGAATACAAAAATACGATGTTTTGATATGCTTGAACAAATATAAAACGTATTATTTGATTTCGATATGTAACAATATACAACCATGTATAACATGAAATGCCAAAAATAAATACAAAGTTAACACAGTATTCCAAACAAAATTTACAATAAATAAATAATAAATAAATAAGTAACGAAGAAATAAATAAATTACATCTTTCTTGAAATTGTTGTATACTGCGTGAGAATCATTACGCATTAACAATTATTTTATACGCGAAGCACAGACTTAGCGTGATTGAAGCGATAACTGGAAATTTAACAATTATTTTGCAGTGCATCGCTGAAGCATTGTTAATCCCACACCTTATTAACGTATCTAGTATCACAAAGAAACTAAACCTGACCTTTAAACCTTTAGCGTATCCTGATAATCTAGATTAACATTGAATAATATTACCGTGACTTAAACCGTGATACTTAGTGGTAACGAAGATCGAAAGAATTAGTCGTGAAAGCATTAAGATAATGCGACGTGTCACATAGCCTTTTGACAAAATTGAATTAAAATGATAAACGTAATGACTACAATGGCGATAAGAGAAGCGTTGCAGAAAAACAGCGTCATCAACCCTTCCTCTGGCCCAAACGGCTGCCATGGTATACTCACACATTGCTCAGTTCTCTCTTTCTGAAAATAAACGATAAGTTTCTTGCATTAACCCATAGCCTAGATAAAAACACATTGAGTACCTTAAGAAATGATGAATTAAATTCTTTTCATTTATAAGCATAGCTTACACAATTATTCTTTGAGACATTTTTATATATTTTCAACGGTTAATCGCATATGCACTATAAGCCTCGCCTACCCAACACCATTTAGAATGGAAAGCTCCTAATTCTAACGAAAGCATATTAATCTATTCCCTAATTTTAAGTAATACCTGCGATTCTTTATAGTTCCAGTAAGCATTTGTTGTACAACAATATTTTCAAACGCAAAGGGGAAACGAAAATCTCATTAACGAAAGTAAGATGAGAAACGAAATAATTAATGCATATCTGTTTTTTATTTCACGTTACGGTTTTGTCTAACACTTGATAAATGCAAGAATCGTTGAATGCTTCTTTAGAATTCCTTTCGTGAACGTCACACTTACCTCATTTATTCTACATTCACATAAGTGTAATCTATTATCATAATATATATTTTTTATATCTGGAATAACAGTTGTTCAATTAAAATGTATACCTGAATATCATCCTTATTGACCGACTCTTCTTCAAAGCGGAATAGAAGGTCTTCGCATTTTCTTTTCTCTTCTTCAAGTTGTTGAGCCAGTGCATTCTTTTCCTCGAGTAACTTCGTAAGCGCAGTTTCCGCTTCGGTGACTGTCTTTTGCATTTTCTCGCGATACTTAAAATTAAAATAATTTAGTATGGTAAGCACGGTATAAGCATACAACATATTCAATACTACAACGGATACCTGTTCATATTCATGTTTTATTGAGATTATAGACTGCTCTGCCTGGTCAGCTTGATTCGCTGCTTTTGTAACACGGTCACGTTCTAAATCTCTTTCTCGTCGAAGAATCTCTATCTCCTGTTGCTTCTCCTTTAAAGTTTCCTAAAATAATGAAAACAGGTATAAAGAAATGGTTATACTGTTATTTGATTCTACTGTTATAAGATTTAAAAGTACATTACTATATCTTGCATACCCTAAGTATTACACAAATCTCTCATATTAGGAACTTTTCTATATAGGAATTGGATAGGTAGAACATAAGCTAATTAGAAGAATGAATTTCAATTATATTACTTCTTGCATTATATCTTTGTATTTTCTACTTGTACATTTAAGATTTTTGTGATCAAATAATAAGTCAACGAAAACTAATATTTACTGCCATCAAAATGTATTATATATCTATATACTCATGGCCTATGTATGTGTAAATCGTTCGTATAACTTTATCTTACCATATCAGAATTGTTCTTGAACTTTTAGTGACTGGAAAACTGGTTTTTAATAAATGTATAGAAACTTTGTAACTTCAAAGACACAACAATCATTGCATTGAAATCGTTAAGTTAACAATATATATATATATATAACAAATTGGATGACATTTCTGACGAACGTAAAGTGTTTTCCATTCTAGCAATAAATTAAATAAATTATTAAAATAAGAGTCCACGACACTGGTACCATAGAATTGCTCGTCTAGAGAGAACAGATTAATATTAAGAAGCAAATACCCACCTAGGTGAAATCTGGATTCTAAGGAGATTACAGGGATGGAGGAGGATTTTATTAACACCATGTACAAATATCAGAGTACCTTCCTAAACTACTTATCATCTACTATACAACTAAGAATTACATACTAACAAAGAAAGTTGTAATACAAATCGCACTCGTTAAATACACAAACTAATTAAATCTTGTGCTTAAATATTAGGGAATAATCACAACGCGCTTGTTAATCCGTCTCTACGCTACACTCTACGTAAAGAACATTTCAATTGTCACACTTTCAACTAAAACTAGCGACAATATGCAAATAAATGTTAGATCATAATCTCACCTGCAGGGTAGTTCGTGCAAGTGCCGGCGTGCGCAAACCAGGCCTCTGGAATTTTGGATGCAACAAAAAAAACATAAAGTGTATCATGCGAACAGCCATACGTTTAAGCTGCAACTCTGTTTTACTTTTACTTACTCTTGTCCCTAATAAATAAATGGTCTGGTGTAATAAAACATTTTAGCAATTAATCGCCGACTATTAACAATAAGGTACCATGAGACAGGACGATTCTTTAAGTATTTAACAACAATGTCACAGTCGCGCGACTACTAGAGTTAGAATTTACAAAGATTAAGAATACTTAACTATTCTTTGGATCGTGATTTAAACTTGATTTAGCTAGACATGACTATGTATCACTCGACAATGTTATCCAACAAAAAACAATAGCTACAAAATCAACAACAAAAACAACCGAATATCTACATCAAACTAACAGCATCGCTATGTATCTAATCAACGTAAGTAACAAGCTAATAAACAATACGCATTTTCATTCGCAAACGCGTTTCACTGCAAGCTGCGCAGGGACCTTTTTTTCGCATAAGTTAGAAAAGAAACGCGTTTGCGTGGTGAAAACCTCTTCTACTCAACGCAACTGGAGGATCTGAAGGGTGTTGTTGGTTTCTACTTGCAAACCTCATTTTGGAGAAATGGACAGGGACGTTTGATATTTCTAATATATGTATAAATTAACGTCAACCTAGATTAACATATACTAATGCAGAAAATCCTATTCCAAGTTGAAAATTGTCTCTATATGGGTCGGTAATTAAAGTGTCAATGTACAGCGTTCGTTTCGTTCCAGATATTAAACTAATTCATCCTCTTCGATCGTCCAGAAACATGATCCCCCAATTGCTCTGAGCAGAACGTATAAAACGGTAGAGATAGCCACGGGTCTGCACTCAGGATTGATGATGCAAGCTGCAGTACAGGCCGTCCTCCTCATTCTGGCACGGTGAATCTTACCCTCGCGGTACTGATACCAGTCCTGGCAGCCGTGCTCGCTGTGCTGGCGATACTCGACAGCGAGATGAGCGATTCCCTGGAACCAGTCTTCTTCAAGGACGAATTCAGGGCAGCGCCTGTTGGCTTGTGCACCACGCACAACGACCTTCTGCTGGACGGCGACCGGCTGACCTTGTGCACGGGTGCGAACAGGCCGTATTTAGGTCGACACTCGAAGTACCTGAAGCAACGCTAAACCAGTTAGCAGATAATGCAGAGAAAGGTCTAACTGCGGGCGCGAATTACTCAAATATTAAATTCCGAACTTTCTATCGCCAAGAGGACTTCTGGGTTTAGACTGACATTTGCATATTATATAGGACAAGTATTGTGTAACGGGTAGCCTATAGGAAAAAAAGCATAATGTACACTTTACCTAACTACGATACATTGTAATTAGGAGACGATTAAGTTGGTAGACGATTTAAGGATCTGAAGAGCTGAGAGACAGGCAGGAATGGAAACAGGGAAGGAAAGAGGTCGATAGGTTGCATAATTTGCTTTCGATCGCATTCTGTACTTGGACCTCAAGGGTCGAGAAATTCATTACAGACTCGTTAACTCAGCTAAAAAAGTATTAGGTTGTCCAAAAAGTTTCTTTCGCTTTATTAATAAGTAATACATGCACAATATTTTATGTTTTATGTTACATTACTGAATTGTGCACGATTCATTTTGCTCAATTACTGTTACAACATGAATATATATGAAATTAGATTGTCTATTTATAGAAACACGACCACATAAAATAATTGAGTGCAACTAGCGAAAGAAACTTTCGGGACAACCTAATATTTGTAACAAATCTCAAGATCGCGGCTAGCTGTTTACACCTGTTCTTCGCATACAAATGAAGTTACGTGTACCTGCCTACTGTCTGATCGATCAGCGTTACATAATCGGTCGTAACAGGATCCAGGAAGGAGGTTGAATCGAAAATTGGGAGCATTCTCTACTAAATTAAGGAACAGTCGATGCAGACCTCTTGTCGCCAACGGAGCCATCGTTCTTGCCAACTGGATCATCGAGCTCCACGCCGCACCACTCGCCTGCCGCGAATTCTGTGGTGCCCAAGTACCTGAGGACACCGGTTTTGCTGCCTTGGCTGGACGATACTATTACCCTTTCGCCTATCCTGAGATCCCTCTGCGACACCGTGGACGACAGACTTGTCGTGGATGCGTCTGTGTGACGAGTTACATGCTTTACAAGTGTGTAAAGTCCGCGAGGCAGAATATATTGGTGCTCCTGGTCTTTATTCCTCGTCTTTATTCGACGGGCAGATGCTCAACTTTTATGTTCCTCACGGAGGCAAAGTTACAATAGAGCTGGGTAAACTTCCATCTTAAACAGTAGCTATATTATCGGAGTAGAACGCTAATTAACGATGCTTCTGTCCGTGAAATTAAAACGGGGATGCCGCCTCCGGCGACCAACATTTTCTGCCTCGAGTACGGCACATGCGAGAAACTCTTTTCTACGCGTAACAATAACGAATAACAAACATTCACGAGGTCCTCGAGACTTGAACGCCTCGAGAGCTTACAATCAATGGGTTACACCAAATTGGAAGTTGGACTTAAAAATCAAATAACAGTACGGTGCGCTTCTATCCGAATTTCTAATTCCACGTCTCCAACACGGTGTGACCCCTTAAAATACAATTACATAGTAGGAACGGAGATTCCAGAGTTAGAAGGTGACACGGGATTTTTACGTTTTCTTTTTTATTGTTGGCGAGAAGGTGAGGAATCGGTGCACATCCGATTTATTTACTAAGAGAACACAATTCGACTGAGGTTCGACTACATAAATAACAAACATTCAAGGATATAGGGCTTGTAATACGTGCGGAGTGCGTGGGAGGATACTACGATGTTTCGTTTAAGAGAAACTGCCGAGTGAAACGTAAAAGTGTCTCGGCGCTAATGCTAATAAATAAAGTACAGCGTGATGCGGTGTTAGGCACAGATATTCACACAAGTCCATGGAACGTAGAACATTTTTTACAATATTAGGAGCGTCTACTCTTCGCGCAGCATGATCTAAGTTACTTCTACTGGCGTGCAATTAGGCGAACAACGCTGGAAACATTCCAAATGGTATGGAACAAAGAAAGGTTCGTTTCTTTTTTTTTACAGAAGGAGAACACACTGCTTTCGATTCCAACGTTTTCAGAAAATCTCGAGGTGGGGCATTCTGGTTTATCGCCTCAAAAATCGGTGATCTTGAATACCGAATAGTCTGGATGCTGGACATAAAGAGACAGAACCTAAATTTAATATTGGAAAGTGAACTTTCGAGACTCCAATAAACGTGCAACTTTTATAGCTCGATCATTTCTATTCCCCCTGTGGTCAACTATTTCCTCGACTAACGTTATTCGATACACAAAATCGCATCGCTAAACAAACGCGCGATAGAGGCTTACAGTGATACATCCGTTTGTTTTCTCGAAAGGAAATCTTGAAGATTCATCGATTCTAAAGGTTCCAAACCAGAATGTGCCCTTGGAAGCACACTACGGACGAGGGGCGTATCTCTTGAACCGATCCTTACTCAGTGAGGGAGACATGGACTTGGCGAGGCTTCCTTTCGTGCTGTCCGGTGGCGTCGTGGGGGTCTTCTGGGTCGGCGACATGGGAAAGTCGTCCAAAGGTTGCCTGGTCAACCTGGTCAGACGCGAGAATATCCCACGTTTAGGCTCGCACTGGAAGTACCGGCAACCCGCCACCGATCCATCGTTCTTCCCTGAAGTATAAACATCGTTCAATGTTCTCTCCTTCGAGAGAATTTTGACCGACGCACAGTGCGGCGAATGATAGGCAAACGTGTACAAAAATAGTATTTCTATTTTTTTTTTTTTTTTACTTGTTCGTGCTTGGTAACATAGAAAATGGATTTAGATAAACATTTGTGGCTAAAACGTTTTCATTGAAATGTTTACATAAATAAATATGACATTTTTGTATTAATTCTGGTAACCAAACGAATGAAACTATACGTGACTATTTAATAGCTCATCAATAATCATTTTATAGATTTAAAGTAAACTATATTTTATAACTATTATTTAAGAGTATAACAGGTAACGAATATATGTCTCTAATTTTTTTTAATTATAACTTCGTGGAGCTCTATTGAGATCCACTTTTCAGCAATGTCAATATTCTTGATTTTAACGACTCGTTCTACAAAAATTTATTTCTCAAATATTAGCAGGCAGGAACCAAATATAAAAGAATCACTAATACATTCTTTTACATTTTTTTTTTTTAAGCCTATTTTAAAATTTAATTTCGAATCTCGCGCATAAGAATTTTGTAATAATCAGTAAACTGTTAATATAGGCAACAGCTATGAAATAAACATACCCATAATAGTGGAATCGATGACAGAGAAAATGAGCTATGAAGAATGAATATTACTACAGACTAATTGTAAGTGAAAAAGAAAAAAAAAAAAAGAAGTAAATTGTACTATCGTAAACTGCGAACTGAAACTGAACGTGATAATATGCTACAATTAGGTAGCCATATAACTATAAATAAGTGCGGTTTCTTAGCAACCACAAACAATTTCAAGCTATTGACATCTATGTAACAAAATAAAATGCTAGATTGTGCTCTAGCAAATTCATCATTTTTCGATTTTTGGCCATTAATCGACGCACTGTGCGACGTTCCGCACGCTGTCTTACCGATTGGTTCATCCAGAACGACACCAGCCCAGTCTCCCGGGGCGAACTGTGTCTCTCCGATGTAGGCGATCGAGCCTGGCTTGGTACCACCGACCCACACTCGGTCTCCTATTATAAAGCTGTCGGTGTCCTCCGTCAGGACGACACTAGTATCTGCCCGACATCGAACCACAAACATGTTTAACATGAAAAGAAACTGAATCGCAGACAGTTAATAGTTCAACGTTAAGAAAATTCCAAGGTCTACTTTCACAGGTCCGAGAGTTTTATCTTGGCCAAAATACGATATTTAACGAACCATGAATCGTAGAGCGAAAAACTCGAATCGATAACGTGGTCGGTATTGCTACAATAAAATCCTGAACACGATATCGATACGATGGTCGTTCTGGTAATTTCGACGCTTGGTGAGAGCAGCACCAGATCGACGCTTCGATAATGGCGAAATAGGGAGATCGAGGGACTTAATACGCACCCCTTGAACGGTACAATTCATGCCAGGGCTAAGAAAACTCTAACTGGTAGATGATAAAATAAAATAAAATAAAAAAGCACTTACCTGATCCCCTGCGCAGACCAGCCTCGCTTAATCGGCGGCCGTGCGTTTCCCAGAGATGATCCATCTGGTCTGCGATCATGCAAAACAACGCAGAAACAATGCAAAATCAAACCAAACAAATCATGCTTCCTGGCACAAGCTCGCAAAGAATACAAAACGTTAATCTCGCTTATTGCAAATACTAAACGTAGACCTTTGTTCTAATTAATGATTGTACGAGATAAAATCACGATAGACGTTTGACTATTCGAACAATTATAATAACAATTAATCTACGCGTTGCGAAACGACGTCACGCATCGCGAAGACGATCATGGTGTATTCTACAAACGAGGCTTGGTTTTATTGGTTATCGCTGGTACATCGACGCCACAGGAAGTTAATTTCGTTTGGTACGAGGTTCTTAGATGGAGAGTTATGTAAAACAACGATTAGCAGGGTGTGTTCGAGTATGAATTCATTGGTTCTATCGATTAGCGGAGACGCGTGGACCATGAAGTTATATAAGAGATTAAAGGGAATATCTAAATTTTTCTATTCTTCCGAGAAAAGACTTCGTACTACACCGTAGAAGACGAGAAAAACCAATACTGTACGCGACAGATGTTTGTACGATGTAACGCACCGACTGAGAACAAACTAAATCATGTTTTAGATAACAATTGGGGCGTGCATTTTTAATTTCTTCTGACTTCTATTACACTTCTATCGTTAACTCGGAATATTATATACGTAAGATTTAATTACAAATCAATCAAAAAATTCAACGGCTATTTAGTTGGAATAGGTGATCGATTAGTGATACGAGATCATTTACAGGCGAACAACGGTTGAGCGTGTTAAACGATATATAAAACGATATCGCGACTGTTTTGATTTTAATTCAATTAAAACGCAAGTCGACCGTATGATCTCGCTCGTAGTCCCGTTCAACAGAAAAACACAGAAAAATATCGCGATTCGCGTTTAATTAATGATTCATGAGAAAGCGTAGGCGTGCCAGTGGTAGTAGGTCGCTCGTGTGGGTAGCGGTTTCTGTTCGACGAGATCGATTCGTGATTAGAACGCAGCGAGATTCCACCTAGATCGCGGAGATTATTCGACGAATACGCCAAATTTCGAGAAACGTAGGAACTATTCCAATGGCAAACTATTTCATCTATCATGTTAGGAATTTATGAAATGTGCGAGTACCCGAATTTCTACAACATTTTTATAATGAATACACGCTTTATAGATTCGTAACAAATGTATGAAGACGATTACGAATTTGAAAACACGTACTCTTTACGAGTTTACAAAGAACGCGCGCGAATCTCTGGTCAGATACGTTTGATGACTAATAAACTTGAACACCGCGTTCGTCGTTTACGGATAAAATCTATTACAGAGTTGGCCGGGATCGAGTCCAACCAAACATACTACAATTTACGATTAGCACAGTGTCAAACACCTTGACCACTCGTAATGCGATCCGCCTAAGTAGTCATACAATCCAGATATCTCGGTGTCGCGAATGTGGACGCTCCATATGTAAACAAGGTTAATGGCGTAAGCTATACGATTACTACTACGGTTGTCAGGTAGCAATTTGTTCCTGGAATCTAATCTAATGATCGCACAGTAACCCGATCCGCGTAGTCCCTGCTCCGAAATCGATATTCAATCGCGCTCAATGGCAGCTCGCTGATCTATCAAAGGGTTTGCTACCCAAGTCCTCGCGAGAAATCTCAATTTCATCGATGAAAATTTAGAGTCACCATAAACGGATCTGAAAGAAATTGAATATACAGGACGCGGCCGAGTAACATGTACTAGCGGGCACGAGGCGGTTCCTTATGAAAAAATAAGACCAAACTATGCAATACAATTTTTTCATTTAAAGTTCAGTTTTCGAGAAAATCGAGTTTGATCGTTTAATTCGTATGTATGCTGTTACGGCTGAGTTACGGTGCATCGAGCATCGTATAACGCGTATCGTGTTTATAAATAACGATCTGAGACTTCTTCTAATAGTTATTTGTCTAAGCAGTCAGTTTTCGTTGATCTATCTGGCGATGATGTACACGAATAAGGGATACGTGTTGTACGATCCTCGACGAACCACAACTCAGCCGTAACAGCATATACGAATAGAATTTTCAAACTCGATTTTCTCGAAAACTGAACTTTAAATGAAAAAATTGTATTGCATAGTTTGGTCTTATTTTTTCATAAGGAACCACCTTGTGCCCGCTAGTACATGTTATTCGACCGCACCCTGTATAGAAGCAGTAATGATGTACCCATACACTGATCTCAGAATAATAGCAGTTACAGTGAAAGTAATGCGAAATATTTTGAAACGCTTAAAATAGGTGGTATCCCCATACCTATTACTAAAACAAGATTCTAAAATGATATTAAGTGCGTGATCCTACAGGTTACATTAATAGCACCAGTCACGGTTAAATGAAATTTATAGTTAAGCCTAAAAATCGGCTCCTAAATATCACGGAGGCGCAAAAGTTGCGGCATCCTCAATCTCGCCCTCACGAGCCGCTTATCTCTCCATATTTAGCCGATGGTGTCAATGTTGGCGAACACCATGAGACCGATTGCGTCAGAACGAAAGATCGTCACCTTAGGAAACGTGATCTACGAAGGAATGCTAATGAAGACCGCGAAAAAACGTGTAAACATCTGAATGATCCGCTTGAGACCTTAGAAATGTATGTAACAATTTGTCCGAGGAATTTCAAGACTCTGGGACACCGAGCAAAATCTTAAATTACTAGAGTAACAGCTTGAAGCGCTACAGTTTGGTACAGACGAAGATCCCTAGGTTAACAACTTTGAACGTTACTTCGAGGACACCCGAGAAGCAACTAAAAACGAAGAAAGCGCCAGTTTTATCCAGTCCTTCTAAGAACAAGCGAGTCCACTTCCTGGCGATCGCGAATATCGAATGTCAGGAATGTATCCGTTTCCACGTCAAGTCGAAAATTGGCATCGTTACCTTGAGTTCGTCTATCGCGTTGCGATATTCGAGCCCCAGATACGTGTGCGCACCGTTGGGAACGGAGCGCGAATACAGAAATCACGGGCAAGGTGGATCGCGGCTGGCGCGAAAAGCCCTACCCGAAAAGGGAAGCGCGGACACGTGGGAGGAAAGACGAAACGGCTGGAAATCGAGCGTACAATAAACACACCGGATTGCATAACCGTGTGCGTCATGCGATGACTGCACCGACTGCACAGGTCCCGTCCCAGCGTCGTTGTCGTTCTGCAGCGGTGCGAGGAAGGCGCACTGATGAACCAATAAGGCAAGATAGGTGCCCTCGATTCCGAGAGACGCGCTTTGTACGCGACGCGCCGCGTTTGTTTCCACTCGCGCGTGCCTCGCAAGATGAATAATCGAGCGATTTATCGAGATCGTGAGGCGGAGGGTGATCTTCTAGATTAGGTGCCCGTTCGAGATACAACACGATGACTCTACGGTCGATTGAATCCATTCGGGTTAACGAGCAGGACTTTGGAGGAGATGGATGATGATCACTCGGCACCTGAATCCTCGAGAAATAGGAAACAGTATTAAGGATAGGTGTATAATTGTTAGGTATTTGCAAGATCAGTGATGATGAGTAATATAATTCTACCAAACTGTACCAAATACTGTAATTCGTAAGACGAAGAAGGACGAAGATTCTAAGGCGAATTGTATCCACTCAGACAGGAGACTCTTGGAGGCAGATGATGATGAGTACTTGCAACTGGATTCTGAGGAAATAGGAAATACAATTGAGAATAGGAATAGGACTGTTAGGCGTTTTTGTCAAATCATGTTGAAAATTGTAATTTTGGAAATAAACACCATCCATAGTTGTAACCATTGAGTATTTATTAATAATATAAGACCCTATTTTCAACCCTGTCCTTTTCACGTTATATTATTAATAGATGATCAATGACTACAAGCATGAATAGTGTTAATGTATTAATAAAGAGAAATACTTATCTCCTTTGGATTATAAACCACATACCTTCACTTATAGAGGTTGCACCCCTATGTTTAAGAAACACTGATCAAACAAAAACACCTACCAAAGAACATAATGATATTGTTATTCGGTGAATCGTATATCGTGTTAGTGATAAGTTACACGAGCACTAATATCGACAGAATTTGCTAGGTAATCCTAGAGTATCGTTTCAACGATTGCTAGCGAGAAGTCGTTGTATTTACCAGATCGCTCGGACGAGATGTGTTGCGGTGAGAGGTGGAAGAACGACTCGCGAGAAGTTCGCGGGCTCGCGCTTGTAAAAGCATTCGTTCACGTTCATCTCAGGGTCTCGTGGGCGTACTCGTTCGTCGGCGTGGGGCACGAACGAGTCGCGATTGAGCTTCAATCGAATTTTTAACCCTTCACCACAATATGTACACCCCCTCTTCTATCCAATAAACAGCTTTATAAATTTTGCACAGTCACGGGTCTACTCATTTCCTTGTATTATTATTAAATACCAAATTCATATGATTATTCTCAACAAAGAATAAAATATATTGTTTAAATGGTTTGGTCTACTTCTATAATCATGTATGCATCTATGTATCTAAATGATTGTGGTGATACAATGTGCATGTAAATAGAATACTATCCTAGAAAGTAACGAAATACTTATCAACTTAATATATTCCTATAACACAGAATGCATGAAAATATTGAACTATAGAAATAAACTACAGACACGCTGAACAATGGAACATAATCATCTTAAAACGTGCATAAGATTTATTAGAAACATCTGTTAAAAACTTACTCAACGATAGTCTAGGCATTGATGGTGGGACTGCTGGTCTTGGTGGAAGATTGCTGCATGGTCGACCAATTTTTGACGGTGGTCTTAGTTTTGATGGTTTTGGATCTGCCATCTTTTATATACACACTTATTGTTATATAACACTGAAACACAAAATTATTAAAGAGTTAGTAAAATGGTGGATTACAAGAAAATCTATGTTCAATGGTTGATAATTAAACTCGTGTGTCAACATTGTTACAAAGCATTATAATAGCAAAATAACGAATGAAATATACTATAACAAACAAACATACAAGTAGAACAAATTGTTTCATACTTTAGATGAATTAATATAAAATAATTGTGCCAAAGACATCCTAACGATAATTACATCTCGAATTTACGTCTCTCATGTACAGTTTATATTTACATCAACTTCTGATTTTAATAATGACATCATTGCTATCGCGTTCAAAATATGAACCTTAAAAAAAGCACAGTGGAAACGTCTCTAAAGCGCAAAATTGAAACGAAAGCTTGAATTGGACGTACGCTTACAGAAACTACGCAAGAGATACGTTTATCGCTTGACATTCGTTAGTAATCGAAAAAGTAAGTTCTGTTATTTTTATACTCGTCAGACGAGACTTTTCGAAACGCGAATTTCCGTTGGAAGCGGATATTATGACGTTAAAAAAAAATGTCAAACGGAAGGAATGTTAACCTCTTCGAGACCAATGCTTATCGTTTTACGAGAATCTGCGTGTATCCTCACCTTATTTAACCGTGACGTGATGTTCACGAGTGCAAACAATTAACATATTTTATGGGCAACTATTAGAACATCGATATTCTCACAAACGAGCACCGCGAAATATTCGCACAGATTCACACGACGGTTAACGGAAAAGTGACAATTTCGACTGGCGCCAGCAGCGCCGTCACGGTCTACTTGCGAATTAATTCATAAATTTTCTTTCGATTTTACCCTGGTTTCTCCGTTCTTCGACATAAATTATTTAATCGATCATACCTACTTTTTCCTTACATTATTTCCAATACCTTAAATGATTAATAACGCGATACCTAATCCCTCTTGCCTACATAATAATTTTAGGAAAATATCTTTCTAACAATTTTCCTTCCTACTCTTATATATTTTTAATGTATTTCATATTAGTTAGTATGTTATGAATCGTTAGAACAATTTTACTGTTGCAAATAATTTGGGGTTAAGTCAAGTAAACAGAATGACAGTTGATCTGTCAGTAGTGCCACTTGTTGCTCTGTCCGACCAATCTAAGCAGTGTATCTCGACGTTATTAAATCCTCCAAAGGTTATTCCATCTGACAATGGCCTACCAAGGTAATTAATTTATGTATTTTACTTTTGCTTACACTTTATGTATATTAATACTTATGAATTGTTTTTATTAATTATCACCTGTATAGAGACTGGCGAGGCCTTGCACATTTATCCAACTTAAGTGGAGAAATGATGCCATTGTTGACAACATGTCCAGATCCTTCAGCATATATTTTAACAATTTGGAGACAGAACCAAGTAGACATAACAATCAAAGACTTCCAAACACTGTTAGAGGAGCTTGACAGATGGGATATTGTAGATGACACATCGGAACTTTTTGGTTTGTTTACAAATTTTGTTTACAAAATGTTTTATTCCTAATCATTTTCCTGTTCATTACTTATGTCACAGAAAGAGATGCTGAGAGATATTTGCAAGAGCTACAGAAATCTAAGATATCAGCTGAAGTAATTGCAAATGAGATAGATCAAAAAGTTCTTACAGTGGGTAAGTAGTACATAAACTACAACATTACATCATGATATCATATAAAGGAAGGATTGTATTTCATTTTATGTCTCTAATAGATGATCTTCATAGATTAAGACAAGGGCTTGAAACTCAATACTATGATGCTTTCTTATTATATGCAGACGAAGATATTAATTTTGCTACAGAAATGGTGAATAAATTGGAAAGTGAATACAACTTGAAGGTAAAAGAAACAAAGGAGTACATCGTAAACACAATGAAATATAAATGGTTCTGTCTTTCCTAGCTTTGTTTGAAAGATCGAGATTTAATCGGCGGAGTGACATTCGAACATGAGGCTGTGATGACACTGATATCGGAACGTTGTAACAGATTAATCGTCATAGTGTCGTCTAACATACTTAAAAGTCCAGCAAATAAATTCTTCTTGAACTATGCTCAAGCGTTGGGTATCGGTATGATTTAACGATACTTCATTACCTTCGTTTCTACATTCGTAACATGACATTATAATATTCACTTCAATTACAGAAAAATGCCAGAGAAAAGTTATACCATGCCGTTATGATAAATGTCAATTACCGCCACAATTGAGCTACATGTTTGTGTTAGATTATACTAGAGGAGGTTTGTACAATTTTTGGGGAAAATTGCGAGATTCTGTCCAAACTCTCAGTAAATCGAAGGATACGAATAGGTATTTCACTTTTGTTTAATTAAGGATTATTTACTTGTATAAAGTAAACGTGTGACGCAAAATTGAAACTTGCAGTGTGATACCCGAGCAATGTGCCTTACCTATTAAGAAGAACAATGATCTCAACACTGTAGAAATAAATGATGAAAGGATTAAGACAAAAGACAACGAGACAATATTAAAAACAGAAAAAATCGTACGTGAACCTGAGTTGAGTGACTTGAATGACTCAAAGGACAATACTAAAAAGTCTGAAAACTTTCTACAACGGACAATGAAGAAGTTGACTCGAAAAACGGAAAACGATAAGAAAGAGTATATACCAATTACGGAAACATTGACTTTACCGTCACTCGAAGGCTTAGATATGCTAAATACTTCTACCTCCGTAAAGAAGAAACAGAAATCGACATTTATAGATAAATATGCGAGGAAAGTGCATTTGAAGAAAGTTCTCATAAAGTCGTAACAGTAACCTGTTCAAAGGAATAATTTCTAATGTACAATCTATTTTGTTAACAATATGTATAAATGTAAAATTGTCAATAAATGATTTTTAGTATTTAGTTGAACACAAAACTATCTTATAGAAGTTACGATTTTGGCGGGAAGAACCTTACCATGTACGTCACTACAGTATCATTAAAAATTTCATGAAATATTTAAAAATGAACAATTAAAATGTTAACCGTTAAGAATAGTTGCATACTTCTGCTTTAGAGGGCACTTCACTATACTGATGGGTTAATTTCGCGCCAATTTTTTATGGTTTGACAATTTTCGATTGTATCTTTTTTCTGTTTTATGACTTACTTTGTTATGTTGATATATGTTAATATAGTTGCACGTACTAACAGGCGCTTTTAGAAATATAAACACGATTGTAACATATATGAAAAGTGATAAAAATGGTGCGTCGCAAAGCCGATCCAAGGTTAGTTGACGTCCAAACTTTGTTTTCTACATAAATCTGTAAATTTAATCGATTCGAGGTCGTAATTTCGTATCTCTATCATCGCTAACATAGGCAGTGTTAATGTACAAAGTTTTATTGTCAATGCTATCTGCAATTTGACGTTTACGAAAATGTAGCCTCAGGTCATGTACGTATGTTTCAGATCACATACCAATTCAAAATCAAACCGTGAAACGTCCAGAGTATGATTATTTTCTGGTTTAAGTATTTCTATCGATCTTCACAAAATTTCACTAATTATTAAGATTTATTTAAACGTGTTGAAAGTGTATTTTGAACATCATTAATAGTGACTTTTACGATTTTTTATAGACTCGTGTTTTAGTAAATAACGGAAAAAATCGTAGGAGAGCACGTGTCTTAAATGAAATTCGTTATTTGAGAAAATCTATCAAGTTAATTATACCGAAACTTCCATTTGTTCGTTTAGTTAAACAAATTATTATGGAATGCAGTGTTGACTTGAAAATCGACAGGTAAAATTTTGAATATATTATAGCTTTGAAAGTTGAGATATTCGCGATGCTCCTAGAATGTTATTATACATTGTTTTCAAATTATATGCAGGATACAGGCATTTGCACTTGAAGCACTGCACGAGGCAACGGAAGCTTACCTTGTTCAATTCTTCGAAGACTGTAATTTATTAATCATGCATGCAAAGCGTGCAACCCTTATGATCAGAGATATGCATTTAATGCGTATACTTAGAGGAAGATCTGATATTATAAATAGATGAATTAAATTAATTGTCAAATTGTAAATATAACAGTGTTAAAATGTATGTCACAGTACCTGACTTCATGACCTTAATCTTGATATTAATGAAATAGAATAGTTTACAAGTTTTTTTTTTTTTTTTTATAGGTTTAAAGTCGCATCAACATCCTATTCGCGACTACACTGAATATTATTAAATTTTGTTTGGCAAGTTGCTTTCAATAAACTTAATAAGGTTATCTAAGTTACTACTTGGTTACGAGTGTTACATTTGTGTACATGAATTATGATTTTTTTATGTAACAGTATTTCTATTTTTATAATAAACTATTATTGAAATAAAGCTACTACGGTTGTTAAATTAATTAATTGCAGTAAATAAAAATTTTATGCGACAGTGTATTCAAATAAATATTTAATCAAAGGTTTGATGTAAGAAAAATGCATTAGTGTCGAACGTTTGGCGAGCCGTTTGTCAATGGCAGACTAACTAGGCCCGTAGTAGTTTGCTAAATAAAATTTATTCCGTGAGAAACATTCAAACTTTTGATAAAATTCTTAAATTTTACTTTGCGAAACTTTGGTAAAATATACATTTTTCGATTTTTAGGCAGGATCTTAAAATAGTACAATATCGAAGTTTCGTAAGGAATTCGTACGAATTTGTTCGAACTTGCTACGTACGTAAGATAACATCAGTTAAAAGTGATACAGTAAAAACGTTTATTAAACGATAAAGGTAACGTAAGCAATTGTTACGTTACAATTGTTGTTATTTTCATGTTGTGTTAGCTGCCTTCACTTACGACGTACACCGCAAGCGAAACATTATACTCGATATTCTAAAAAAAAACCGACTAAAAAAATTGTATTACAAATAACAATGCTAATTATCTATGCGTTTACATATCTATAATACAATTTGATAAGGAAATATATAATAGCCGCCTGAAAAAAGCAGGCTACTCTCTTTTTCTCTCGCACCTGTAAAAAGAGAATCTCATTTATTTCCTAATCTTCAACTTCTAAGAAGACACTTTGTAATAGGCACAACATCAGTTATACTTTCATGCTGCCTGTCATTGTAGAGAAAAAAAAAAAGAAATTTATAATCGCTTGTAGTTTTACCATGGCGATGCTTTTATCTTTATACAAATATCGTGTATACTCGCGTGTAAACTGACTCTCCAAAAACTTGACATCTCATTCTTTCACGTATCTTAATATACATTTGTTACATTTGTATACATTTGTTAGTCATTCTCCGCCGGAGCTGAGCCAATAATCACTCATACTATTTTGTTAGAGTTGGAATAGTTAAATAAATTTATGTAATCGACGGAACTGCATTTTTTATCTATTCAATCTTTATCCTCTTCATTGTTGAATTTAAAAATACACATTGCCTGTATTTCTTCATAAACATATTTTCTTTTTTTACGAAGGTTTGTCGTCAGAATTGTAAAGAATTTTGCCATGGCATCAAAAACAACCCGGCTCCGTCTTACTATCGGACCTCTCGCTGTCCAACGGTTAAAAGTATTGAAATAAAATTAAAAAGAAGAAAGAATTGTTCGTACGTGGAGAAAAAAAATACTGTCTGTACATCTCGAAAACAATTCTTCTAATACGAATAGAAAAGTTGACCGACAAGCGAATATATACGACACTCTGGTTGCAACGTCGCACGCGCAGCTGGAATCACGGTGTCCCAATTAATTAATATCGGTAAAATTAAATAACAAAGTTTTTTTTTTCATCACCGTAACCGGGGAAGCTACGAATCACTTCCTCATGAAAGACCGCACCTTGTTCACGCATTTGTCCATAAAGTTTTTCTTTCGTTTCGGCTCTGCCCCCGTGGGCAGGGATAGCAGCGAGCCTTGCTCCTTCAGTTTGGGCTTGTACTCGTTGGACGAAATGCTTTCGTCGGAATCTAGTCCCGCGCCACAGCTCTTCGCCTTGAGCAGGGTCGACTTATCGTTTCCCGTGGCCACCAGCCGTTCCTTTAACTCCGAGTTACTATCGCAAGGATCGACTTTCTTCGAGTTTGCGTGAGACTCCTCCTGTTCGTCCTCTATTTTCGAGTTCACGGTCGACAGATGCCCATCCATGCTGACGAATCGAAGAGGTTTCGGTGGTCGCGTGGGTGGATTATTTTCCTCCTTGTCGCTGGACTCCTCGAAGGTTAACGACTTCCGTGCCTCTTCTGGCTGTAAAATATTAACAACCTCCGATTTCGCTTCCACAGCTGGTGTCTTCGTTCGCTGTCTAGGAACAGGCGTTGGATTTTGATCTTCGTTCGATTTTACCGGGCAACAACTGTCTTCCCAGGTTGAACTCTCAGAGTGAACGTTATCCATTGGTCCATTTGCTTTATACCCACCCTGAACAAGATCGTCTTCTGCTTTCGAGTCAGATCTATCCAGAGCGTCAATGGACTCTTTACCGTTGATCTCGCTTTCGCTATTCTGCTTAGGCGACTCTTCAGTCTTCATATCTGGCACTATACCATCTTCGTCTAGTAAGCCGTCCAAGCTTCTGGACCTGGGCCTCGGTTGTGGTTCCGACTCTCTGATCGGGGAGATCGATTTCTTTTCGTCTTGGTCTAACAACTCTAACGAACGAGATCTAGTGGATGGAGAGGGAGGATGACGCGGAGGTCTTCGCGGCACTGGACTTCCTCCAGGGTGCGTGTGGATGAACTTTAATCGCGGAGACGTGGGTGGCAGACCCATTAACCAACGGGACGGACTGGACGATTTTCTAAGCCTGTAATTTGAATACGATAAATTTACTGAAGTTCTTCATCGGTCGATGAATGCGACACGATTACTTGTTCACAATTACATTCACCAACCATGCAGGTCCTCGTGCCATACATTACTAACAACGAATAAGCGGAACATGGAAGACGATTATACAAGATACTGTACGTGGTGGGATCTAAATTAACTGGTCGTTGGTTACTCCATCTCTACATCCTTATCTCTAATTAAAAGTAGAAGTCGTCCTTGCCCCTGCCGGGGAAGACAATGAGGGAAGCGGAGTGAGACCACCAGTTGATTTTTATCCGACCATGGAAGAACTGACACCATTTAAACACGGATAGAAAACTGATTTCACGGACTGACCTATACGTGATTGTCTTATCGCGATTGTTAATCCTGGCTGTCATAGAAATAAAAATTTTGCGTTAAATCTGACACCTCGAATTTTATTAATCCGATTAATGATAAACGCATAGCTGCATTGTAAATAATAATCACCTGCTCGGTATGGCTGTGGGCGGGCCCTCTAGTCAATCTCGCCCACCGGTCGAATCTTTATCGCTGCCTCTACTTTCATTGCTGTGCATGCGTTGGTAGTTTGGTGGTTGTCGGATGTTCGTGCTACCCTGTGTGTTTGGTTGTGTTACGTCCTTGGTAGCGATACTTCTTGGAATACCACCAGACATTTCTGATCTGACTGGTATTTCCCCTCGCATAAACCTATGGATGGAAGAGTCAATTAATACTACACTGACCAAAACTTTTCCCTCTTTATAACCTGAGTTTAGAAGCTTACCTTTCAAGTTTGTCTACGCAGGCGTCTTGGTAGTCGTGAATCCACCGTACTCCATTGAAATGACAAACTGCTCGCATGTCTTCGGGAAGTTCCTCTGGTTCTGGCCATTGGAAATTGTCTATGATGGGAATTATATTACACTGCGACTGTAGAGCTGCCACAATTTCCTGCAAACATCAGCATACAATCCATATATAATCTGTTACATAATTACACCTCATCGTCAACAATGTGAAAGAAAAATCAACTCACCCTATGGACCCAGTCTTTACACTCGCTGTCCTGTATACACCTTTCCAAAGCCTTGGGCGTCAGCACAAGGAGGAAGTGTTTAGCCTGCCTGATGCTCTGTAGCAAGTTGTTGTCGAACTTGCCAGCTTCTAGCCTCTCGACATCAATAAACACGGAGAAACCTCTTAGCTGAAGATGGACCTTCAGCAAGCTTGCCAACTGAGATCCATTGGATCTTCTGTAACTAACGAACACATCCAACGACTTGTCGGGCGACTCGTCCTCGCACGAGCCCAACAATTGATTGTGCTGCATGTTCTTGATGGCGTCCAGTATCCTTAACCGATGGATGCTGTTCCCGATCCCACACTCGGTCAGAAGCTGATCCTCGGACAGATTCCTGATGGAGTCCTTGTCAACGCCTGCGTTGAGCATGCTGTAAGTATAGATGGAGAACTCTTGTCCGATGGATTGAAGGAAACTGTTCAGGTTCCCCGTATCTCTGCTGCTGTAGTCTGCCATCTTTTTCAGATTCTGCAACTCCCTGGTGAATCGTCGCCTTCTGATGCCGTTCGTCAGACCGATGTCCTCTTTGAGATTCTCCTCCGTTAATTGCAACAGCAGATCGCCGTCAACCCTGCTCTCGACGAAGTTCTGCGCGTACTCTGCGAATCCTATCTGCTTCACCCACTCCCTGACGTCTTCTGTGGACCAGAGAGGCACTTGTTGGCTGAGCTTGTGCGGTATCTCCTCCCCGATCAGACGCAGCGCTTGCGCCGCGTACTTTGAGGCTATCGCGTTGGGACAACTCGCTACCTTCTTCAGAGGCTCGATGGCACCTATTTCGCGGAAGATTTCCGTGTTTCCCTGTTGCTTCTTGATGCCTGCCTCCATGCAAAAATGAAAAGCTGCCAAATTTCTGGCTTCCTCTCTTTTTGAGCTCAACACAGGCACCAATCTCTCCAGCCAATTCTTGCTCTGACCATGCGCATGTGCCAGGTTCGACTTGGCGAACTCGTAAGGATTGTGAGAGGTGACGAACGGCTCGACTAGGTCCAAGGTGCCTGACTTCAACACCGCTGCCTCGATTTCTTTGTTGGCCACTAGTACGGCGATGGCCAGACACGCGTAGTACTTGATGTTGTCGTCGTTGTGGAAGGCTAGAGGGAACAACCACATTGGTACCTTCCTCTTGATCATTGCCTCTTGGTTCTCAGCCCCTCCGTAGAGAGATAGATTGGCCAGGGCACCGGCGCAGTGTCTCAACGTTTCTATGTCGTTCTTCCTGCATTCGAACAGGACCGCGTCCAGACCGCCTAGCCTGATCACGTCGCTGCAGGTACCTTCGCTATGCTTGAACAAGTGCTCCAGGATACCAGTGCCCACTCTGGAGTGGTCCACCGAGTTGGCGTTCTTCGTGCATACACAAGCGACGTTCACCACTTTTTCCAGTCCGTTTTCCACCACGTGCTCCCTGTTCTCCGTGGTCAGACACTGTTCCAACAACCTGGCCGACGAAAACTGCAGCTCTTGATCGCTGGCCACGCAGTTCGACATCAACAGGTCCAGACCACCCCTTGTTCTCAGAGTATTGCATAACGTGTACCCTAACTCGTGTCCATGGGTAGGAACGGCCCAGGCTTTCCTGATAATTTCGTTCACTCTGTTCAGGAGCAAGGGAGCCTTGTTGTTCTTCCCTTCGTTCACTTTCAGACGCTCCACGAAGCTGTCTAGGAAGCTGCAGTACTTGGCGATCGCTCGCTCCACGTCCTGCGGGTTCGACTTGGAGCAGAGGAGGTCCAGATCGTCCAGTGGTAACGATAGGAGCTCGTCTTCCGCAGGCCTCATGCCGTTCATCAGCTGATTCACCGCGTTCGCTGCGGTGATCATCGACGACTTCGACGTGACGCCTTTCGAGGCTATCGTGATGCTCGATTGGGAACTGGAGGCCATATGCTTCTCGTGGTTGAAGATTCCGGTCGAGGTGACCGTCTGTCGTTGTTGCTGCGCCGCCATGGCTTTCTGGAAAACAGAAATATGCTAGCTTTAGCGTCACGAGTCTCAGTTAGAGTCTGCAAGCTGGGGATTTCATTGCATAGGATGACCAGGAATTGGTCTGGGTCCGTCCTACCACGTCTTCAAGCTCGGGCCACTACCCGAGGACTCCTATCAAACTCGTAAATTTAAACTTGGAAGCTAAGAGACAGAGCTATTAATCTTGGAAGTAACAACGCGACTCGAAGGAAGCAAGCTGGCTTGGCACTGAGTAGAGGAACGAAGCATCCAAGCTGGGAGAGAATTATCACACGCCTGTGTCACGTCCGGTCGTCGCAGTTAATGTGAACAGTATTTCTGTATCGCCACGTAACACTGAAAGTGGATGGAAGGATCGTCCTCTCATCCTCGATAATTGTAAGTATCCACAAGGAACGTCAACGAGGTGAATCGTAGATTGGAACAAACAGGCGCAACCGCTGGGACCCATGAAGAATGCCCCTGATGATCGTAATTCCAAAAATGTGGAGAACAATTCCTTAGCAGGCATGGTCCCCACGGTCGGATCTGATAGTGTTAAAGGAAGATGGTGTCTCGGAGTCTTCATAGCCAGATGTTGACCATATAAAAGTGGAATATCTTTAGTAAAAGATAAAACGCGTCCTATCGCATACGAATCGCGTTCTCGCTTAATCAATGCCTTCAGTAATCGACACGGGTGATCCAAAATCCTGAGAAATGGCAAAATAACCTTTTGCAAGAGTTCTGATATCACCGACTCGGAATTCCAGCCAGGGGCATTCTCCCTAGCCGTCCAGTGTACCATTCTGGAGTCGAGACTCCACTTCCTCGTGGTCATGGTGCTCCTCTTCTCGGCTTCCGTCGAAACCGCGAGACGCGTGACTCGAGAAAGCGGTGGATACTGAACGCTGAAACGACTGACCACCGTTTAAATCTGTAGATCCCACTTTTCAGCTGGCGGAGAAGCGATCCGAGCGGTGGTTTACACGTCGAGTATAAATGTGACCGTGGCCTACGTCACGCGCCAAACGGCCACAGACACTATCAAACGCGATCGTTTGCGGCCTGCTACTGGGGAAACTGATATTTTGGTGGCTGGCCAAGAGGAACACCTTCTAATTGACAACTGACCATCGAACGTCGGATCATCGTCAACGAAACGTTTCCATTGTACGAGGATCCACGCGGAAACTGGGCTTGAAGAGCTGGACTTGGAGTCGGAGTTGGAACTGGGGATTCTATACGGATGGAATTGGTGATCAGAATTTTTATCAAGGGCTTCTATCAAGGATGTCCAGCAGAAGGTGAACTTCCAGAATCACTGCTTCATGTTCTTGGAGTGTAAAGAATTCCCCTATCTTCTTTTGTTACATGTAGGTAACAAGTAAACCTCCACTGCGAATTTCTTTTGAAAATTCAATAATTAAATTCGTCTCTCACCTTTTCTGAACTGAAGGAATCGCTCTGCAGCTTCATAGTAGACGCTGCCATGTTGTTACTTTCTTGGTGCGAGAGATCCCCAGCTTTCAAGCTTCTCTGCTCCTGTAAATACAAAAAAAAAAAAAACATTAAACAGTATTTTTATGTATTCTCGCATCTAGTGCGAAATAAATTATTTTCTTTTTCGATAAATCGATCGAGAAACGTTGTGCAACGCGTCGAGAGTGGCGAAAACATTCCAAGAGGAAGAATGTTTAATATTCAGCACCAGTTGCAGGGAATTAGCAAGCCATTGAAGGTCCACTTACGGCGTGTTAGCTAACGACTCTAATTCTCGGTAGCAAAAGCACCGATACGATCGCAATGCGGCTCACAATCATCGCACTGTGCTTGCTCCACGCACAGTTGTATAGTTTCGCGGCGTGGACCGCCAACCACTTGCGAATTTCCATTAATCAAAACACTTCCTCGATCCCATCGAAATCCAGTCCTGAAACAATCTCGACACTCCTCGTCTTAATTACCCACTGAGTAACTTGCAATTCCTCGACTCCCTTTGCTATGCTTCAGACTTAGCGATGTTCTTAGTGTCAATTCAAGATGTTCTTTTCGCTACGTTACCGAGATCGATATAAAAACAAGCCTCAACGAAAGTGCACAACTGACCATCCCCTCCCCAAAAAATACTTAGAACCAGGTCCAACTTCCCCTGAAATATCTGCAGCAACTCCTCTTGAAAAGTTTCTTCTACCTTTGGATACCCCTCTAAACACCAGACACCATTTCACTCACTTCGGAAATGCAACGTTACATAAGAGGATCGACGTAAAAGTTCGCCGTAGGAAAACTACCGCGATCAACGATGCGAAAACACCGAATACGTCCGAGACGGGCGACGCGCGCGGCGTCGAAACGCTACTGGGCGGGAAAAGCTTCGCGTGCGACTTTCCGCGACAGAGTTCCATAACAGTCTGGCCTGTCGAAAGCTCATCGGCCGCGGCTCGACCTCTCCGATCAGCTTCTGACGTATTTCTCTAAATATAATCCGTGCGTGTCGTCACCAGCGGCTCCCTGTCGTCGCCAGCCGCGATACTCTTCTTCTCGGCCACCTTGCGCTTCTCCCTCCGATTCCTGGACCTCCACGTGGCGTCATAGATCGCTCGCGTTATCGAACGATGGACTTTAGAGCGGCGTTACCATCGAGGGATCGCCCCCCGGCTCGCGTTCAGTTACAGTGCCACGCGATTCGTTGAATATTTTATAAGAGCGATGATCAACCATCGAGAAATTGTGTTTTAAGATACAGAGTAGAGTTATCGACCTGTTCGCTGTCCGTGACCCGTATATGGGTCACGGTGCTGAGCTATTAGATAGGCGGCTGAGAGGTCGGACAGTGAACGTGTCGGTGGCTGAGAACGAAAATGGATTTTACTCGATTTCTCGTTTGTTACGGGGGGACAAAGGACGAGTTTATGGGAATTGCTTGCATGGATTTTCATCCTCTTCGAGATCCCTTCGAAGTATTTTTTTGAAATTGTTGATAAGTATGCGTGTAATATTCGTTATTCGTAGACCGAGCTTGTTCGAAGTTTAATCAGATTTTGAGACGATAACGCGAAACCTGGACGCGGAGTTTCATTGAAATATATTCGGTCGCATTTTTAGGATCGATTCGGCTCCAGAAACGGTGGATCGTGAATTTTTGTTTTATTCTTGGAATGACGAGGCGCGCGTGCGCGTCGTATTTCGAAGACAGCTGCCGCGGCGCGCAAACAAAATTCGACAAATTTAAATGTACCCGTCTCCGACGACTTCCAGATATTCCTACGATCGTTTACGTCAGTGACGTTCGTTTACGCTTTAGTTGGTCCGAACGAGCCAACGAATTTGTTGGACGCGATGGGCGTTTAAATTCAAGATTTTATCAACCTGAATGCTGAATTACGTTAACACTTTATCTACCGGGCTATTTAGAAACAGTCTTTAATTGAAAAAAGAATTTTCTACGGTAGCATATACCAATCTAGGTTGACAATAATTCCTTCGTACTATTACTAGGTACATCGAAAAGCCAAGTCTGTATCCAAAAACTGTGACATCGTAAATAGACAACCGTCAACACAGTAAATAAATTCGAAAAGCTAAACACTGGAATTAAACAGCCTATAATTAGGCTCCCGGTAAATAAAGTGTTAAATAACAATATAATATTAAGTAACAGAGGCGTAGAGTGGAAAACACTGGAATCGTTGATGTGCGATAAAAACCTCTTAATTATTCTAAGAGGAGTACTTGTTTATATAATACTGTAATCAACAGGCGTCACATTTTGCAGCGTACTGTTGAACCATTCAAGCTGATGTTTTGTATTCGAGTTAAGAATATTTATTGTGATATACAAACGACTCCACTGAATTGTATTCGAATATTATTTCCGTCCTCCTTGGATTATAAAATTAACCTTCAAGATATTTGCACTCTAATATTACTCAAAAGTAATTTATACATTTTTCAGTGTAACGTTATCTCGTTCCTAGTATCATTTCCTAATTAAACTTTATCGTTTTTCAAACGATTCGTCAAACGTCACAGTGAATCCCATTTTCGGAGTCATCGCACGATAACGTTAATCCAGCAATATTTAAACAAGTATCTTATTTATTGATTATCGTGCAAAAATCTCCGATCGAGGAAAGCACTGAGAAATTGCCAAATGCAGACAACCAGAAACAAAGAAGGTGCACTGACCCGTTCATTCGCGCAGAATGGAAAATTAAACAACGGGCATTGTCGAATCGACGCACAAAACGGAAATTCACCGAGAAACACATCGAACACCGCCGAGACCTGTTCGTTTCTTTCATCGACGTTGCACGGTGCGTTCCGGGAAGAGTTCGAAAACAATACCTGCATTCTCTCGTACTCTGTTTATTTATCGAACCGAAAAATCCTTTTTTATCCTTTCTGGAAGCCATCTGTTTGTCGAGGAAAAGTTTCCGAAGCACGCACGCCCAGGACGGAGAAAATTTGTAGAAAACGTCGATTAAAATTAAAAAATGTTACGTAATTGTTGCAATTGTGTGGATGTAAGTCAGAATTTCCGAGCTAACCAAGGTTTACTTGAATTTAAAAGAGAAGAATACAAAGGATAACGATACTGGAACCTCCTCGTTTGTGGAGGACGTGGTGTAAATGTAGCCATTTTTGATGAAAATGGATTATTCTAAGAAGAAAACTCACCACGTGGTCGCGATTGAACGCTTTTTGCCGCATCACACCACGATGCACTGGCCACGGTGCGCTCATCTCGTCAGAAGCGCATATCAACTCGTCGGGAGGTCGATCACTTACGTTCCTCTAACGCGAAGTGTAATTTCATTTCAAATAACAAATTTTATTCGTCGTTCTAAACGTGCATTCGAATAAAAAATGTGGACGACGCGTCGCTTTCCAAGGAAACGAATCTACGGAAGTAAGCGAGGAGATCGATAGATCGATCGCAGCGTCGCGACGCGCACTACTAGAGCCCAGGAATCTCGTTCGAACGCTATTACACGAGTGGCGCACAGGTTAATTTCGTTTCTGCCAGCCGAGTAACGTCTAGATGCAACAAGCTGCCACGTGACGAATTTTTCGACGGGATTCCGTGTGGATGCTGTTTCTATTTTTCCACGACCAGAAATAGCGGTGGTCGCATCATTCACGACCAGGGTAGACGCGTTTCGCGTCTGCACGGATTCTGGTGAAGTTCCGAATACTTCTAGAGTCATTGTTACGCAACGAGTCCTCGAGATGTCACCGAAAGTGACCAACGAAGCGCCAGGAGTTGTTTCGATGATTATATGTGCCACTTTAGTCGATTGGTTCAATGTTTATTCACGGGAAACAAACTTGAATATGTTGGGGGTAATTTTGATTATTTAACAGTAATGAAAAATCATCATTTGCACTTCGTATAGTACATTACAGTAGTACCTCGATAAATGGCCGAAGTTTGGAACGGAGTGCGAGCATTTATCGAGGTGAGCTACAGGCGAGCAACTTAACGATGCCTGCATAATTAAACATTCAACGACAAATTAATGTCATTCGTTTGTTTCGAAACGAGAAAAATAATAGTTACGAAAGTGTTATCAGTGGATTGATAAGGTTCTCCTTCGCTTGCGTTTCGCAGGGCAATATTTCATTACTTGGTTATCTCGGATGTACAATTATTATTTTCAAAGTGACAGAATAGAATATGTAATCACATGATACGTTAATTTATTGTTTGACGCTTGATAGTAAGTTGTTTTTGATAGAAAATAATTGTTTTATTAACGACTTCGATTCCCAAGCGAAAAAGAAGATATTTAATCGACGTACGAAATTTGTTTGAATTGTTTATCTGCTCGATAAGATTTGCGGCTTTTTTCGTAACTGTGTACTACGAGGTCACGTTGTAAAATGTCGAATGCAAAATGAACGAAACTACACATACGACAAGCTATATTTCTAAGATTCGTTATCTCGGCTATGAAACACGATAAGTCTGTCGACTCTTTTCGCGCTTCTATAAATACGACTGTTTTGAATTGAAAAAGCGACGATTACACGAGCAGAGATAAGCTGGCTATAATTGTTTCTGCAATTTTCCGAACCACGAGGAAGACACAAAATGTTCTAATTCGTTTTTCTTTGAGCGGTTTCGTCCATTTGTAGGTAATCAGGTCAACGTTATCGCGCCTAACGTGGTTGTAAATTTGTTTGCACTCGTCGCGTGTCATCGTGCATTACTTCGACAAAATACTCTATGCTCGAAATTTATGCTCGAAAAAATTCCTGTTGCTCAACAAAATACGACCAAACATACGCACAAAATTTGAAATTGATGTGTCCCGTGATTAATCAATGAAAAAATATTGCGACCAAGAAATCAAATTATCGATGTTATTCTACGCTTCGCTTTTAAAAATTGAATATTAAAAAAAAATTGAAAAATTCGATTAAGAACGGATTCGATCTCGAGAAGGCTACGAAAACTATTCAAACTATTTCTTTTTTTTTTTTTTTTAAAGTACCACGATTCGATAAATTTTTGCTGAAATGTTAGTACAATTTAG